GCTTCCCAAGAAAAACTTAGACGACGACATCGTGAAACAGTCGCTCTTCGCAAATTATCAGGAAATCGAGCAAAATGTACGTTGGCAATTAAAAGATTTAACGTTTCTAGATACTTATTTCCACATTATATTTCAAGAAATTACTTCGATTTATTTAAATAAAATTGTACGAGCAATTTTAATAAATGTCTCATCTTAATCATGAAAAATAAAATGTGAATTAATTCTATGAAAAATATTGTGCACTCCTTTATTTTCACCTCTTCTCTCTTCTCTGTGATTTCCAGTTCGAGGTAACAAATCCCGTTGTAAACTTTTCGAGTTCGAAAGCGAGAGGATTCGCACAGGTAAAAATATTCGGGTAGACATAGACTAGAGGTATCGTCTTCCAACAATCGCTGGATAGTTTTTGTCTTTGAAATGATCCCTACCTACTCGAACATGCTCGCACACACTTACGAGAGTCGAGAGCCGGGGTCTCATGGTGGGGGCTGGAGTCCCGTAGGTTCTAGAATTTGCCAAATTTTTCACGCGTGACGTCGATACTCTTCATACGAGGTGTGGCTATAAAATAACGAGACTATTGCTGCAAAACATTTTATTTTGAATTTATACATTTTTAGTTATTATCACCTTCAACATACACCCCTCCTCTATCCCTACAACGCTCCATGCGAATTTTCCATTGTTCGAAACAGTGCTGGAAGTCTTCTTCTGTGAACTCCTTCATGACGTGTGCCGCTTTTTTTTTCACAGCTTCAACGGACTGAAATCTTGTTCCTTTTAATGCAGATTTGACCTTGGGAAACAGACAAAAGTCGCATGGTGCAAGGTCTGATGAATAAGGCGGATGGTCTAACACTGGGATGTTGTACTTGGCTAGAAACGTCCTGACAGACAATGCAGAACGAGCCGGCGCGTTGTCTTGATGGAGAACCCATGACTTGTTCTTTATGTATTAAAATTTGCCTTACGCATTCTTTGTCAATTCTTACAGTTTCAGCAATCGCACAAATAGTTAACCGACCGTCAGATCAAATCAGATTACCGACTTTTTCAATATTTTCATCCGTTTTTGACGCGGAAGGGCGACCCGGGCGTGAATCATTTTCAACGCCTGCTCAACCATCTTGAAAATGCTTAAACCACTCAAAAACTCGCGCACGTGATAAACATTCATTGCCATACACTTCTTTTAATAAAAGATAAGTTTCAGTAGCGCTTTTTCCAAGTTTCATGTGAAATTTCACGACGATTCGTTGCTCTATTTTTACACTTATCATTTTTCCGGCAAAACAAAACAACAGCTCTTATATAAATGAAGGCCACGGCCAGACTAATTTGTTTACAGACATGGGAGACACCGCATTCGAAAGAGAAGACTTCACGCTACACAGCTGTCGGTCGTTCGCGTTTGGCGCATGCGTACTTCTTCTGTGGAAGCATCAGTCTTGTTATTTTATAGCCACACCACATTTGTATACAATATAGCCAGTTTCCATCAGGGTATAGCAGTAGCGTAGTGCATAAGACGCTTGACTTCGAAAGCCAGCGGACCCAGGTTCGAATCCGGCCAGGGCCTACAGGATTTTTCCATGAGACTTCGCACTAACCAGACACACACACATACACACATCTCTCTTTGTTCTACGTATACGTCGTGAAACCAGTTTCTATCAAAGAGTAGCAGTAGTTAAGAGACGGGGTTTGACTCCAAGAGCTCTGAGGTCCCCCCGGGTTCGAGCCTCGCAGAGAGTATAGATACCCTAGGAGATTTTTCCAAAAGTAATATGCAAATTAACCAGCTGACCAAGAGCTAGAATCATAACAACGCCTAATATGAATAATAAAAATTTAATATTTAGATTACGCTAATTTTTATTCCGGTGATTCAAATTTCCGCCATTTTCAGCCTTAGGGGTAGGTATGGCCATTCAAAACATTCTTCCTCCACTCGACCCTCCGGTGCCGGTGGGCATGATCTAGTGATCTAGTGGCCGGAGGGTCGAGTGGAGGGGGAATGTTTCGACTGGCCATACCTACCCCTATATTACTGAAGGGGCTAAATCTGGCGAATAGGGTACGTGAGGAAGCAATTCGAACTTTAACTCATTGATTTTGGCCATCGCGATAACGGATGTGTAAACTGGTGCATTGTCTTGATGAAACAACACTTTTTTTCGCCAAATGCGACCGTTTTTTCTTGATTTCATCACTCAAATGCTGCAATAAGTTCGCATAATATTCGCCGTTGATTGTTTTTCCTTTCTGAAGATAATCAATGAAAATTATCCCACGCGCATCCCAAAAAACTGACGCCATGACCTTGCCTGCAGATGGAACTGTCTTCGCCTTCTTTGGAGCCGATTCTCTCCTTTCAGTCCATTGTTTTGACTGTTCCTTCGTCTCAAGTGCGAAGTGATGGACCCATGTTTCATCCATGGTTATGAATCGACGCAAAAACTCGACTTTATTGCTGTGAAACTTCGCCAAACACTCGATTGAAACATCCTCACGACGCTGTTTTTGTTCAATTGTGAGGTAATCGCGGCACCCATCTTGTGCACAGCTTTCTTATGTCCAAATTTTCAGTCAATATGCGATGTACAGTACTTTTTGAAATGCCTACCATGGCTAACTCGCGCACTTTCAGTCGACGGTCATCCAATACCATTTTGTGGATTTTCTTCACCATTTCTGGCATGGTCACCTCATTTGGTCGACCACTGCGATGTTCGTCTTGGCAGCTCGTACGGTCTCGTTTAAACTCTGCCACCTAATATTTTACTGTTGTAAACGAAGGAGCAGACGTCCCCAGAGTATAATCTAACTCCGCTTTAATATTGGTTGGACTGAGGCCTTTCAAATGAAAGTATTGTGTCACATAACGATGACCAATTTTTTCCATGTTTACAAATTCACTGAGAGCGTTCACTATTGATGGCTGCCAAACAAATACTAAACAACGTAGCGTCGTCAAACTTCAAACTTAAGCTTTATAAGGTTGGTACTTTCTACCATAGTTTTTTTTTTTTATTGAAAGAAAGGTTGTACAAAATGGTGTACTGGGTTTAGGTACAAAGCCTATCTAACCCTTACAAAATACGAATACTGTACAGTGCTTCTGTCCCGTCGCCTTATACGTAACCTAACTTACCTAACCTTAACTAAATAACAGTGTGTATATGTGGGGGTCGAGGGGACTCCCGTTCGACTCGGCCTTTCAACCCCGCACAGCAAGGGAATGAGATACAGATTTACAGGGCATGGCACCCGTACCCTGGTTGGATGTGTTCTCCTCGCGGCTCTCGAGGACAGACCTCGAGGGCCCCCAGTGAGCCGACTCGAAAGACAGAAAAATATTACTTTATTCCTTACACTTGGCCTCTCACACGGGGCGCGCTCGCTCGAGAACAGAAAAGAAACGGAAACACAATGAACGCACGCTCGCAAAACCGCAGAATGGTCGCTCGCGAAGACGCAGAAATGCTGGCTCGCGAAGACGCAGAAAAGCGGGCTCGCGAAGCGCGCAAGAGGCGCGCGGAAGCTGTTCCGACAAGGCACGCAGCGAAGAAGCGTCGGAAACCGCGAAAGGAACGTCCGCGTTCACTGCGGCAGGTGGCGGGAGCTGATTTCCCGCCACATATATACATATTAATTGAAATAGGTGTCGTCAGAGTTCTGTACCACTTAACTTAGCTTAAGTGGTAACCTATATGTAAACGCAAAGAATAATTCTGTTAGTTAATTAAATATCTATATCTATCCTATTCTACCATAGTCATTCTTCTCAAACAACAACCGCCATCTATACGTCAGGTCGGGTACTTCTGGGACTATCCTCGTACAATGATGAAAAAGGGAAAGTTTTTATGCAATTAGATTTCAGGCAATTGATGAAGTCTACTCAAATTCAATCGGATTAGCCGTTACAATGATACAATAATATTGCTTTCGCTCAACTAGAGGCCTCTTGTAAATTTGTATGGTCGTTCTCGTGTCTCAATTTCTCACTTCGCGCGTTCATTGGCGCGAAACATTACTGTATGTCTTAATAACATTCGTTGCGCCTAATCATAAGTAATTATACTTATACTTAATTATAGTTAAATCATAAGTGATATTATTGATGTTTTTATCTTTTTAACATGCTCATACACATATCTGCATTGTTTCATATAACAGAAATATAGTTTAATTATATGCAAATATAAGATATACTGATAATATCACACATGTAAGTATACATAAACACATAGAAGACACGTATTTACTCAAAGATAATATTATTATTAGCCTATCAAAGTAATGTTAGTAGTGTTACATACGTGAGACAAATAAGTCCTTCTACGAATCGACAGAATCCAATAATTATATCTCGAGAAAATTTTACTATAATTATCCTTAGCGCATATATCGAAGTAAGTAGAATACTTCATTATAAAATCAAGAGCGAAAAAGAATATTATGTAACATTACTTATGTCATGACTTAAGAGAAAAGAATTTCTTCAAAAAGATCATATGATGGAACTTGAAATATTTTTATAATAATATATTTGGAATAAATTATTTAAAATATCATATTGCTTTCACATAATACTACTATTGGTACATTTATAAATATCTCATGTGTGAATTAATTATTAATAATTAATTGATAATATCCGTGCTTAAAGATATGGCAATAGCAAGAGTATTAGGTTGCATTCTCCAGAGAAGTCGTGTGGTTGTGCGTAATACATCACATTGCTGTAATATTCTCCCTAACTATAAATACAACGTTTATTTTCACACGGGAATACTTGCGGCTATGAGCATAGAACCTAGTAAAAGATATAAGAAAGTGAAGGACCAGAAAGCTGAAGAAACTGACGAAACTAAGGAAAGAAAGGAAATTAAGAAATATAATAAAAGTGAATTTTGAGTTTTGTACTTCATTATGTCTAATTGATATATTGTAATAAATTTTTTCGTTTTCATGTTAGGTGACATATTAGATAGTGTTGTATACGTAACACTGCTAATCACGGCTTCAGCATTTTATGTCTTCTTAATAATTAAGGAAAACAAGTTTAAACGTGAAATGCCGCAAGTCTATAGGGATACTTTGATACATTGCAAAAAGGATAACAAGATCGTCGGCATTTTCGGAGAACCTATTAAAATAATTCGACAAAAGAATCGTATCGTACATAGGTAAGCAATTTTCTTTTCTCTCTTTGCACGTATAAAACATTACCATTTTCTCGAGATGCAAGTTCTATCGTGCAAAGGGCGACTCGTATGAATATACAGGGTGTCCCATTTAACCTGACAAATCGTAATATCTGGAAAACTACATGTCGGATCAAAAAAGTGGGTAATGAAATTTGTTCGTCTCGAAGGGGGACATCCAATGATATCAAACTCGACCTCTCACCCCACTCCCGGAGGGTATGGGGGGCAACTTTGAAATCTTAAACAGGAACCCCCATTTTTTATTACAGATTCGGATTTTACGCCACAAAATACGTAAGTTTCGTCCGAAACTTTTTTTTTTATTCGTGACAGATGGCGCTATAATCGCCAAAAATTAGATTTTCTACAATTCTCCAGAAATGAACATTGGATTGAAAAATAGAAAAATACCTGTTCAATATTTTTAAAAATATTTTTAAAAAACATAATAACAGTTATTCCCCCCCATCCCCTCGGGGTAAGGTGGATGGTAACGTTCAAATCTCAAATGAGGACCCATATTTTTCATTGCAGAATTAGATTTTACGTGAAGTTTTTATGGAAACAATTTTTTTCATTCGTGACAGATAGCGTTGAATTTTTCCGAGAAACTACTTTTAGCGTTACCCAGGAACAACGACGAGGACGTAATAGCTTTCTGTTCCCTTCGGGGTGCTTGTTTTAGGTGAGTCCCCTCGCCTCTCAGCGGGGTGATTTTGCATAATTAATTTGTTAGTGGCATCTCTCCATCATCCGCGCCCATAGAACTTAAGAGACGATCATTATCAGATACTTACCTTTCTAATCAGGAGAGGTGCTTAATCAATTTTTGAAGAGTGTTCCATATTACTATCATTCTCTTCTGACTTTGCATCATGGATTATGTAACTGTGCAAGAAAAAATTGAAATGATTTTCATTTATGGCGAATGTAGGAGAAATTTTGATGATGCTGTCAATTTGTATGCTGAGCGTTTTCCTGAAAGAGTACGATCACGTTCTTCTTTCGTTAGAGTTGTTACCCGTTAGAGTTGGTACACAGTTTTGTACTGATGGAAGTGTACAACTGAAGAAAAGAACGCGTAGAGCTACTGTTTGTGAAGAAAATAATCAAATATCAGTACTAGCTACAGTGGCTCATAATCCACATGCGAGCGTCCGAGAAATTTTGCACTAATCAGGAATTCCTCGTATGAGTATTTGGAGAATTATGAAGTTCCATAAATTTCATCCGTATCATGTGTCCTTGCATCAGGAATTAACTGGCGATGACTTTCAAGACAGACTAACGTTTTGTTAATGGGCAGTCGAGAGAATACAAATGAGCCCGAACTTTTTTGCTCGTGTGCTATTCTCTGATGAATCAACTTTTACAAACCATGGTCAAGTTAACCGCCATAACATGCATTATTGGAGTGTAGAAAACCCACACTGGATTCGTGAAGTAAATCATCAGCGTCCTTAGTCGGTTAATGTTTGGTGTGGAATAATTGGTGATAAACTTATCGGACCATATTTTATTGACGGCAATTTGAATGGTAACGAATACCGAAACATTCTTGAAGTAGAACTACCAAAGTTGCTCGAAGACTTAAGCTTACAAGTGCGACAAAACATGTGGTTTCAACATGATGGTGTCCAGCACATTGTTCGTTAGTAGCACGTGAGGTATTAGATCGGGATTACAATAATCGCTGGATCGGTAGAGGAGGACCGGTGAACTGGCCAGCCAGATCGCCAGACCTTACCTCCCCAGATTTTTTCTTGTGAGGTTACTTAAAAGATACCGTTTATAAAGAAACACCTACTACTCGCGAAAACATGATGCAACGAATAAGGGATGCTTGCGCCGCAATTACACCAGACATACTTGTGAAATGCGTACAGGCATTTGAAGCACGAATCAACAAGTGCATTGAAGTTCAAGGCCATCATTTTGAGCATTTAATTTAATTAAATGGTGGAAGGTGAAGGGGCTCACCTGAATCAAGCACTCCGATGGTGAGAGGCGAGGGGACTCACCTAAAACAAGCACCCCGATTGTGAGAGGCGAGGGGACTCACCTAAAACAAGCACCCCGATGGTGAGAGGCGAGGGGACTCACCTAAAACAAGCACCCCGAAGGGAACAGAAAGCTACTACATTACAAATTCTATGTCCTCTATCTATGTCCTCGTCGTCGTTCCTAGGTAAAGCTAAAAGTAGTTTCTCGGAAAAATTCAACGCTATCTATCATGAATGAAAAAAATTGTTTCCATAAAAACTTCACGTAAAATATAATTCTGCAATGAAAAATGTGGGTTCTCATTTGAGATTTGAACGTTACCATCCACCTTACCCCGAGGGGATGGGGGGGAATAACTGTTATTATGTTTTTTTAAAAATATTTTTAAAAATATTGAACAGATATTTTTTATTTCTCAATCCAATGATCATTTCTGGAGAATTGCGGAAAATATAATTTTTTGCGATTACAGCGCCATCTATCACGAATCAAAAAAAAAGTTTCGGACAAAATTTACGTATTTTGTGGCGTAGAATCCGTATCTGCAATAAAAAATGGGGGTTCCCATTTAAGATTTCAAAGTTGCCCCCCACACCCTCCGGGAGTGGGGTGGGAGGTCGAGTTTGATATCATTGGATGACCCCTTCGAGATGAACAAATTTCATTACCCACTTTTTTTGATCCGACATGTAGTTTTCCAGATATTACGATTTGTCAGGTTAAATGGGACACCCTATATATGATATTAATTATTTTCAATAAAGCCGTTTGTTCGAAATGTTTAAAGGAAGTAATATTTGTGTTGTATTTGTTACAGTCACCGCTATTACAAAGTAAAGGGTGAGTCTTACGAGGAGTTCACTTTTGACATAGCAGGACCGAAAGCAAAAGGACTAGTACATGCAAACGTGAAGGTGAATTAATTGTTCATGACACTTTCAACCGTGAAAACCATATGTACTTATGTGTTTGTACTTGCGATTTTTATTTGCAGAAAGTGAATAACGAGTATGAATACACGAATCTGCATGTTACGGTGTCTAAAGTAGGAAGATTTAAAGTGGAGTCCAAAGTAGAAAATTTGAGAGATAGATATAAATATAAATATGAATCTGTCATTCAAACATATTGATATTTAGAATATTTGAGCTCAGGCGTATCAGTCAACATATTGGCTCTCTAGTAATTATTACTGTACTAGATATCGTTATTATTAATTATTTTTCATAACCGTCTTTATTTCTTTATTTATATATTTTATCGCATTTTGTATCATTCTGACTCTCCAATACAAGTCCTGACCGTCTTTTTTAAATTTCTTGGAGTAAAATTTTAATTAAAAATAAATGAAATTTAAGTCGAAGCTTTAATTCTGCTGTGCAAAATTAAGTGATTTTCATTTGTTTAAAGAAGTAAATATTTGATTCAATTTTATTATTAAGTTTGCTAATCATTAATTTAGATCTATTAGTAAGCTTTTTATTTAATTCTGAATACAAATTTATCTTGAAAACTAATTTATTCCACCTCAAAGTGAATAAATTTAGTGCATATTTTATATACATTATTCTATATACATATTCTTTAACATATTCTACATGCATGAAAAACCGCTTAATTTGTGCGGATCGGCTGTTATTATATTTTTCAAGTAAAGTTTTAAGTAATTTAAAAAGTACGGTGACTATTTGTAAATTCTTCATCTCTAATCATTTTAATGTTCTAAAACAAATTTCTGGAATGAGATTTTGAAGACGAATTTCTAAAATGAATTCTAATATTTGCTTTAAGATGGATTTTTTACTATTAAGACTTTTACTATTAAGATTTTACTATTATGACGAATGTATTCTCGAATATCGATTAATTATCTTAGTTTTCAATAAATTACGAAAATTAGCAAAATTTAAATAAAATTTTGATTACATTATTATGCTATTTCTTTCTTATGTTTTTCTCTGAAATCATGGCTATCTTCTTTGGGAGACTTATTGTTTTATATTTATGATCTAAAGGACATAGCAGGATGAGCATGTACAGGTTGCGTGAAAAGTTTGCGGAGCGAAACTGAAATAAAGAATACCAAATTCTAAAAATGATTTTATTCTTCAATATAGTCTCCATTAACTTCAATACACTTGGCCCAATGGCTCTCCAATAATTTTATTCCATCGCGGAAGTGTGTTTCTGGAAGGTCTGCGAATATGCCTCTACGGCTGCTATAGCTTCTTCATTCGACAAAAAGTGTTTTCCACGAAGGAATTGTTTCAGGTTTCGGAGTAGATAGAAGTCGCTGGGTGCCAAATCTGGCGAATATGATGGATAATCAAGCAATTTGTACTTCAATTCATTGAATTTAGACATTGACAAAACACTTGTGTGAGCAAGTGCATTGTCTTGGTGAAAATTATTTGTTTGTGCTGCAAACCAGGTCTTTTCTCACGAATTTTTGCGTCCAATTGATCCAAAAAGTTACAATAATATTCAGAGCTAATTGTTTTACCTTTTTCCAGATAGTCAATTAACAAAATCCTTTTAGCATCCCAAAAAACTAATGCCAAAACCTTTTTTGCCGATCTTTCATGCTTTGTTTGCTTTGGAGCTGAACATCCAGCTTCAATTCACTCTAAACGTTCCTATTTTAATTTAGGATCATGGTGATAGATCCAAATCTCATCCATAATTATAAAACGACGCACAAAATCGATTTTATTCTTCTTAAAACGATCCAAATGACGCTGAGAAATTTGCTTTCGAGCGAGTTTTTGTTGAATTGTTAAGGTATGCGGCACTACTTTTCCAAACACCTTTTTCATTTGTAATTCTTTATGCAAAATATGCCGTATCCATTCATCTGAAATGCCTATGGTATGAGCAATTTCACACGTGGTCACACTTGGATCTTCAGAAACAATAACATGTATTTGCTCAATGATTTCTGATGTTGATGAGCTTTTTGGACGTCCACTGCGTGGATCATCTTCAATGCTTGTACGACCACGTTGAAACTCAAGTGCCTATTTACAAACCATTGTTTTTGAAGGAGCAGATTCCCCTAACACATTTACCATCTCGGAATGAATTTCCATTGCTTTTAAACCTTTTTTAACAGAGAACTCAATCACTGCACGCTGTTTCAAATTTTCCATTGCAAACAAATATACTAACACATCAACTTCAATTGGCTTGTAAACACAAAAAGAATTGACAGATGGGAATGAAACCTAACCTAGGTTCATGTGAAGAGTGATTCTATATAACCGACTACAATTTATAATTCTACCGTTTACTTCCCACATAGCACCGCAATATTGCAGGAATATTACAGAAATGTTGCAGGAATATTACTAAAATATTGCATAAATATGACAACAATATTGCAGAAATATTTAATGTCCTAGGCACAAATCTCGCAGAAATATTGCAGGAATATTGTTATGATGTTGTAGGAATATTGTCTCAATATCACAGGACTATTGCCACAATGTTGTTGAAATATCGCCACAATCTTGCAGGAACACCTATAAAATATAGCCACAATACTGCAGAAAAATTGCAAAATATTGCCGAAATATTACTGCAATCGTGCAGGAATGTTGCTACAATATTTCTTAAATGTTGCTGCAATATTGCAGGAATATTACTGAAATATTGCATAAATATCACAGCAATATTGCAAAAATACTTAATGTCCTAGGCATAAATCTCGCAAAAATATTTCAAGCGTGATCTACAATGGCAGTAAGCAGTAAGGAGTAAGCGTAAGCGGTAAGAAATAAACCAATCACCGTCGATTATGACAAAAATAATCAACTGTGGTTGATCCATTTCTTACTGTTCACGCTTTCTTCTTATTGCTTACGGCCATTGTAGACCACGCTTTAGAAACACTGCGTTAAATAAAAAAATATTTCAGACAAAGTTGTTTGACTTGAAGGGGGACATAAGACAGCGATAGCATTTTGTTAATAGATGGCGCCACTTTCAAGATATTCACTGACCATCAATTTTTATAAATGAAAATTCCAACTTTTTATTATATCTTCTTTTTCTACCAATTAATTTGAACAACTTTTATCTAAAACATTTTTTATTTGCTTAATATTTTTTGAGATATTTAAGGAAAACTTGGTAATTTTTCCAACATTTATCTTACGATATCTCGCTAACTATTCGTCGACAAGAAAAATAGTATTAGACTTCTTTACTTTATTTAATATCAAGAATATATTAATAGTGCCCTAACTTTTGTTAATTTAATAATTTAATAATTGAAATTTCCAAAGGTCGATAAGTTAACAAAAGTTAGGGTACTATTATAATAATATGATTGATAGTAAGTAAAGTAAAAAAGTTTAATACTATTTTTTCTTTCGACGAATAGTTAGCGAGATATCGTAAGTTAAATGTTGAAAAAGTTACCAAGTTTTCCTTAAATATCTCAAAAAATATTAACCAAATAAAAAAATGTTTCAGACAAAAATTATTCAAATTAATTGATAGGAAAAGAAAATATAATAAAAAATTCGGATTTCCATTTATGAAAATTGATTGTCAGTGAATATCTCAAAAGTGGTGCCATTTATAAACAAAATGCTATCGCTTTTTTGTCCTCCTTCAAGCCAAACAACTTTTGTCTGAAATATTTTTTTATTTAACGCAGTGTTTCTGAGATATTTGTGATGTGACATTAAAATGGAACACCCTGTATATAAATTGTTTCACACTGCAGTATTACGGCGATAATCAGAAATATTACGTGGCGGTCTGTCATGCTGGAATATAGCGGCAATATTCCTGTGATATTGCAATGAGATTTATCATCGCATAATAATGTTGTAATATTGCCACTATGTTGCCATACGATAGTCACATTGTAACATTGCAGTAATATTCCAGTGATATTGTAATATTCCAGTGATATTGTCTGATATATTGCTCATCTGTTAAGTCAAAACGCAAATATTTTCGGTACTCATAGCTTCAGAATCATAAATTTTATAAAATTTGTAAGATGCTATAAACCATAATTGCTAAAAAGTTTTTATTAAAATCAGTATCTTATCATTATCATTTTTATAATAAAAATACAGATGTAATATTAACGTATATATATATATAAGACAATTTTCAATAATAGAAATATAAATATAATGATAAAGAATAATGTTTATAAAAGTTCTCAATGAGAACTTTTCGCAAATCGAAAAAATTTTGTTTTATTCAGTAAAGGATTCTGAAACTGAGTACAGTAATCGTCAATAGCGTGACTATAAACTTTGAGCTAACAGATATTAAAGAAATCGCTAATAATTCTTTTAAGAGTTTTCGGGTAAGCTTTTTACAATTTGACCATTTAGATCTAAACAAAACGGCGTATTTTCTTGAGTCTGTCTTTTATGAAAATCATTGATTCCTTAAAAAAAATTGTTATTTTATATCGGAAACTACAAAGATCGCGTTATTAACATTTGTACCTTAAAAATATGTGGGTAGTTCTTTTCTAAATTTTTTTTCAATATGGCGGACTCAACATTGCAGCCGAAATCACGAATTTCATCTTATATCGATTTTTCTAACGTTTTTTCACTTTATAATGCTGATTTATTCAATCTGTCTGATATATCACTCTGATATATCACGCAACATTGTTATAATATTCCTGCGATATTGTAGATTGATATATCACATTGAAGTATTACTGCGATACTCAGAAATATTACGTAGTGATCTATCATGCTGGAATATAGCGGCAATATACCTATGATATTGCAATGAGATTTATCATCGCGCAATATTGTTGTAATATTGTCACTATGTTGCCATACGATAGTCACATTGTAACATTGCAGTAATATTCCAGTGATATTGTAATCTGATATATCACTCCGCAATATCGTTATAATATTCCTGCGATATTGTAGATTGATATATCACATTGAAGTATTACTGCGATATTCAGAAATATTACGTAGCAGTCTATCATGCTGGAATATAGCGGCAATATTCCTGTGATATTGCAATGAGGTTTATCATCTCGCAATATTGTCTGATATAATATTGTAATTTTATCACTATGTTGCCATACGATAGTCACATTGTAACATTGTAGTAATATTCCAGTGATATTATAATCTGATATATCATTCT